AAAAAAAAAAAAAAGAAACAAAGCTGACAGTCATAATGTTATATTTGATAAGTCTCATATAAATGAATGTGGATTTTTGCACATGTCAGTAATAGGAACAGGATGCCTGATTTCCATTGCTGCTTTTCTATCTCCTATCCAGCATTGCTAGTCAACAGGCAAAGACAAACTGCTGAGGAGAATCATACTGTTGGAAAGCCTAATTTTGAATTTCAGACCCTTAAGTCTAAATTCCATTTGATATTATTTATGAGATCTTTTTATGTACCTTACAAATATTCAAATTATGGCCAGTCATTAATGAAAACCAAACCTTTACTTAATCCATGTGTAGTTGGCTGAATGGTGATACCTGGATTTTGGGGCATTTAATATTTATTATTTTTTTCTGTATGAATAAAGATGTTCCAGCAGTCCAATCTCAGACTGAGTACAGCAAAAAATAACTGTCATGAATAAAACAAATATAAGCAGTTCCCAAACAGTCTCGAATTTGGGATTACTCACTGAAAATTTTTAATAAGTGTGACTATGTTCAGGAATTTTTATATCTGAACATATGCGCTTTCACAATTCATGCATGCACATTTAAATTATTATTGTTTTTTAAAAGAACTTAATAAAAACACTTTCAGTGAGTAATTCTCCTAAAAAAACCCTCCTTGTGAATGTCAATGTAGAGAAAAAAAAATGAAGAAAAATTTAGGAAGATGGGGGGAAGACATGTCTGCACAACCAGAAATCTTATTGTCTGGTTCCAGGGCGTAGGTATTGTAGGGAAAAATCTTGACAGTATCTTTGTCAAGATTGATCTGATTAGGCAGTATATTTTTCTGGTCAACTTGTTATATTTTTTCTGAGTTTTCAACAGCTTTCATTTAGATTCAAATGGGTACTTTGTTCAACCTGAAAGAGATAATTTTGCTTCAAAGTATTTTTTTTTTTTAAGAAAAAAAGAAACCTAGAGCTGTAAAAGCAAGGAGGTAGAAACAGCCCAAACTTGAGGCGATCTGAGACAGCTGCCTTCAGATCTCTGCTTGATCAGAGAAATTTAAAACCAGCTCCAATTGTGGATTATGGAGGAAATAATGCCAGTCAGTCCACTTTGGTGAGTGGCTTCCTCACTGGGTAATATTTCTCCTCCTGGCTGTCTCCCAGTGGTACTGAAGTCAGGAACTGAGATGCAGAGAGCTGAACTCCAGAGGAGCCTGCAGCCAGGTGTGAGGAGTCCTCTGGGGATGGGAAAATGGGGATGCAGAGCTCTGTTCTGGCTGAGGTCAGCCGGAGAGAGGGGAGAACACCAGTGATCCCACAGCAACTTCCACTGATTTTTCATGGTCTGTTGTGGGGAAAGGCAAAATACTTGTGAAAGCTGAAATAAAATATCACTGCTCCAGGTGAAACTAGCTCAGGTTTTGCCTTGCTCTGTCTCACTCTATTGAACTCAAATTTCTAAATGCTTTTGCATTAAATTGAAACTGTCTCCACAAATGCACATCTACCTTCAAACTTCTCTTTTCTGATCCTAATCTCTCTCCCTCCATTCTGTGGTCAAGTCTGGCTGTTTCTGTGTTCTGTTTTGGCACTGTCCTATTGGTATTTTTTTCAGCAACCTCAAAAGACAAAGGAGATAGAGATGGAGCCCTGTGGAGATGCCCACCTTAATCCATGGCCAAGGCAGGGTACACATTCCCTGTGTGTAGCCCAGCCAAATGGCTGAGTTACCATTTCCTTGGGAACCTCAAACAGACCCATCCTCCCCTGCAGAGTGGGATAATCTGACCAAAGGCTTAGATGCTTCTCAAGCAAGTGGGAGAGGATATTTCCTTCCAATTCTCCAAGCTGTGGGCCAGGTGGGAGCCAGGAGCCCCAGCCTTGTGCTCCAACACACAAACAAGCACTATGGGCACACTGGAGCTCTGCAGCTCACCTGGCTGTGGCAGCTGCTCCACGGGCAGCACCTGCTGTGCTTCAGAGGAGGAGTGGGAGATCAATACCAACCATGTGGAAGGGCAGTGCCTATTCTCTCCATGGTTCCAGTCAAATATTGTCCCAATGTCCCGTGGCTTTAGTCACTTTAAAGGGAGAGCCGCTGATCCTCCTGGTGGGTGATCTGCCACTGACCTTTCCCACATCTGTCTGAAGAATGATAGGAGGGCTCACTCTGCACCTCAAATCTCTGCAGATCTGTAGAGTGGGTGTGAAATCCTGTGAGGAGTTTTTGTTTCCCTTCAGTTCCCTCAGATCTCTGGATAATGAATGCAGCATTTACAAGCTGATGGAATTAAGCAGCATTCAGCTTAATTAAGGGGTTGATTATTCAGGGAAGAAATCAACGTGTCAATCAGGTATGTGGTCCAAAGTGTGGTGTGGGAGAAGATGGGCAAAGACCTACCTGCAGACAGCAAGGCAAGTATCCATGTGCTTCTTTGGGCAGCCTGACATGCCCACAGCCAGGCAGAGCTTTCCCCTGTGCTTGCTCAGACCTCGAGTGACTTTTTACAGCGCTGTTTGTCAGCATACTCCTGCTCAGCCCCAAGTTAAGATTTACTATTCATATTACAATATCACTTAAGCATCCTGCATTTGCTCTGCTGGGAGTCACCTGAGCCAAAAAGATGATCCCAAAGTAAACCTAGTAAAGTAAACTGAAAAGGTTAGGCTGAGTTTGTCTCTTTCTTGTGTGCATTAAGGAAATGAGACTGTGGTATTTACCATCTTCCAGCTGAGCAGTTGTGACCTTGGAGGATTTCAGGTTGACAAGAACAGGAAAATTCCATTTCCTGCTTGAGTCCAAATGGCAAGCAAAGCCCCAAAAGCTTATTGCCAAACATATATAGATTTTTTTCCATATTTATGGATGCCCAGGTCTCTTTTCTTAGTGACTGAGTGTGTGAGAACACCTTAGGTAAGTCCTTTTTCTTTCCTGCACCTTATTTCCCCAGAAGGTAAATTGCTGGTAATGGTGGAACTTGTAGAATGATAAATCAGCTACAGAAAAATGGAAATATTAAGTATGGAAACCTCAGGTGTAAGCTTTTGGGGAGGCAGAGGCTCAGCCTCTGTGCAAAACATCTCTATGATGGGATCCTAAGGCAAGACTAAATACTGGAGTATTTGAAATGTAGGTACATGTTCTCAGACTTCACCTCTCCTTTTTCCTTTTAGGATTTTACTGTTTTTCTTAGCATTCTAAGTTCTATTTTTTTTTCTCTTCAATCTCTTGTGTCTTTTGATTTTCCTTGATGGTTTTGTATGAGCTTCAGTTTTCTGACAATCTGTTGTTTTTAGCCTCAGAGGTCAGTTTTTAGTCCCTGGCACATGCTTAAATTTTTGAAGATTTAAAGCTTATGAGAGCAGCCCCGATGCCACTGGTAGAAATACTCAAGTTCCTAAGTAAGGCATAAATTTAAGATCCTTGTTGAATAGATTCAAATCTGGTATAATGCTACAGAAGTAGGACAAGTTGTCTAGATTTGTACCAGGTTTTTGGAAGCAGAATCAGGACTTAGTCTTAATTTATTTCATTAGAAGCACCTCTTACACCTTAATAGATAAATGCTCTATTGTATAAATGCAACTAAGGAGGATTATTTGAGACTTCCTCTATACTGTATTTTTGAAGGTTTTCTGTCAGATATTGCAGTTGTAGTAGGAGTTGCAGAAAGCACTGTGTCCCCATGGTACATTACATGCAGCACTTCCCAGTGGCAGTAAATGTTCTGGCTTAATCAAAAAGATCACATTTCTTTCTATTACTACCTGCCCAGAGAAGCTAGAATAACTTTTGGCCAAGGAACACATTAGTTTAAATCTTAGATTTCAAAATGAAATTACGGGAAAGTCTTGCAGATATAATTCATATGTCCCCCATTACTTCCAATCTCTTCCTTTTTCTCCTTCTAACTTGAATTTGTGTGAGAACTGCAGTGCTGGCACTGGTCGGGGGCTCGGCAGGGGCAGGCACAGCATCCAGGCATCCCTTTTCCCGACCCATCCCTCTTCCCGACAGAGCTCCTTTAGCTCAGCCATTCCTGGGCATTGTCTGCTCAGCCAGCGCCGCTCTTGCCCTTCCTGCAAATCATCCTCAAGCAGCCAAGGCTTTGGATTTAAATCACAATGCTCTGCTCTTTGCAAGGCTCCTGCAGATAGTTCTGTGGGCATTTCAGGCTCTCCCCAACCCAGTGACTGCAGGTGGGTCTTTTGTCAGTTTTGCATCTCCCTGCTGTGATGTGTGAGTGTCCCAGCTTGGAGAAGTGGGATAAGCACTGGTACCCACCCACTGCATGCGCCTGTCGTGAAGATTTATGAAGTGATATTTTCAAGGAGTAAAGCATTATTTAAGCTATGTGCTGTGATCTATTGATAACAAATGGGATAAACATTGGGCAGTTTAATATTTAAAGCACACTCTTTGGAACTGGGACATCTGTGGCCTTTTCCATCTCTGCTAATGTCTTCCTGCCTGTCCCTGGACAAGACACATCCCCGTCCCTGCCACTCCTCTCCCCCCAGATTTCACAGATGTATCTGTTTATCTGTGAGCTCTTCTGGTGAACAGTGCTCTGACAGGTGCTGGTATAGGGGCAAGTATAGCAGGTTCTGGGTGCTCATGAGACCCTCAGGATCCTCTTTGGATGGGAGATTTTACCCTAGTCTTAATCCAGGGGCAGAAAATTGCTCTTCCACCAGCCACATTCAATTTTATTTCTTTAAACTTTCTTGCTATTATCTGTTCCAAATATTACATCCACTGTGTGACTTGAGTGCCAGGGGTTTAGTGTGTCACTGTGTCACGGCTCTAGGAAACATCTGACCAAAGGCAGTGAGAGCTGTATAAATGTAATGGCCTGAGACAGAGAAGATGGCTTGGAATAGATAATTTATGCATCCCTTCTGCTTTTAAACTCTGATTTGATGATTAGAAAACAAGCACACATTCCTGTAGCTTCATCAAGAAACATTTTAACTGTTTAAGAGAAACCTGATGTTCACCTTTCTTCCTGTTTGGTGCATTTCCCTTTATTTCAGAGCTCAAGCATACATATAAATATAGCAAGGTTTCTGACCCTTTTGTATCATAGCAAAATATTAATAGAACAAAATTACTGCAGATGTACCCCAGAATGGTTTATCCAGGAGAATAGTGTACATGGATCCAGTCAAACTGAGCAGTAGCCCAAACTCCAACTATGAGAGTTCACTGTCTGACTCCTCCTGGTTATAGGTCTTGAGATCTGTCACATCTTTAGTGACATCCTGCTTGTCCATGTGAAATGTCTTCTTCCAGTTATTTACTTATGGAAGTATTTCCATTGTCCTGAAGGTACATCTTAGTCTGGTGTACAATTATCTGGCTGTGATCCAGTGGCACACTCTGCCCAGACATCTTTTACAAATCACACCCAATGTACTCCCATGTACTTTGGAGAACCACAACACAGAGTACACCATGTCCCTGGATTCTTGGTACCAGCTTCTGACTCAACTGCAATGTGCATATTTTATGATGGAGGACCTTTTTTCTGTAGTACTTAATGTTCGGTGAGAGTTTAATCAAGAAACATGAGTAATTGGCATTAACATCCACTTCTGAGCAAGAGAACAGCTTTGATAGCATCTATACTCATTAGACATTTCGTTCCAAACACTGTTCATTACAGTCAGCACTCTTAGTATTGGCTTCTACTTTGTAAATACAGCACAGATTCTGCTGGGCACAGAAGAGGCCTTGAACAAACACTCTCTTCTGGTTACGCAGAAAGAAGAATTTTTAACTGTCGAAAAGAAACAAGAGGAACAGAACAGTTACTTTAAGAAAATTTTTAAGCAGTGTGCAACGTAACAGAAAGACCTTCAAGGACAGGACACAGAATTTACTGGCTGCCTACCTGAAATGAGTAGGATTGATTTCGCTCACATTCTGGAGTGAATCACTGGAAAAGCTCAAGCTTCCCCTAGAAGGCCTGATGAAAGTCTGTTGGGCTGCACGTATAGAATCAAAACAATGATATGCAGTTAAGGGGCATCAGTCATGACAGGAGTGAGATGGGAAGGGGCCAAACAGGTCTCCATGCTTTGCACTTGTCTGCTTATGTAAAAATCCTGAAAAGGAAATGGACTGTACCAGCAGGTCTGCACCACACCCCTTGTCCTCCTACCACTGGAATCAGTACAGGTGAGAGACATTTAATCACCTTACAGTCTCTGTTTAAATGCACCTTAAATACAGAAATAGTTAATAGGCATTCATGAATAAGATTTCCCCTGTCAGCTATGGATTTCCTCTGTCTACTATGTTCTTCCATGAAGAACACACTGTTATGGTTACAATGCCAGGAGGTAGAGTTTTGGCATTGAATATTCTATACCATACACATCCATGATGGGGGATGTGATTTCAGGAGCAAAGACCAGGGGGTGGAAGTGGGAAGGGGGCCATCCTGTCTGGATCCCTAAGGGAAGCAGGTATTAGGGGCAGCCAAGTTTATTTTCCCTGCTGGTTGTCAAAACCAGAAAAGCAGAGTAATGCTGACTTTCAGATCGCTTATAAAATAATAATGTTTTGTTACTGCGTATCTAAAATGGCCCTAAGGCAGAAGTTAGGAAATGTGTTCTGTGTCAATTCACCCCTACACTTCCTGATTAAATTTGCACCCAAATCAAGTAGTACAAAGTCTCAAATTGTTTAATAAGTTGACTTGACTAATAGGTAATTTATTTTTTTCAGCCATTACCCTGAAAATGTGATGCAGCAGGAACCCTGAATTTTGTATCTGTCAGTAGAAAGTCTGAGTATCTTGTTCTATTGTTCTATGGTACTTTACACTTTCACAGCTTTAAAACACTACTGAAGGAACGTGCCACCTATTATTTCAAGTAATGCTAACTAAGCTTGTGTTGAATGAAGCACAAAAACATCAATTTCTTTATATCAGTGTTTGAGAATAATGTGCCTATGCAAGGACTCTTGGATCCCAGTTGCCTGCTGTGACCATCTGACCTGAATTTTTACTCAGTGCTGCATCCTGCAGGGTGATCTGCAGTAGCCAAATCATTTCAAAGAGCTTTAGGCCCATGCCTTTCTAGATAACCAAGAGCCAGAAAATCTTAGCAACCACTTCTCATTTAAAGAACTAACATTTGAGAAGTAGCTACCCAAGATGTTACCTAACAATATCACATAGGACTAGCCTGTTTAGGGTCTTCATCTGGCACATAGCACTGAAACCCACGAAACTTGGCTTTGCTTGGTTTTGGCCAAACTATTTGCCCTGAGCTAAACAAAAATTGTCAGGATGAAGAATATAGTAGTTGAATGGCCTGGGACAATAGTTTCTCAGTCACCTTTCCTTTGACAGAATGTTTTTGTTCTTACCAGCCTTACATTCTTTGTGCTTGTATCCCAGGAAAAAGGCTTAGGTAAGATCAGTCCATCTTTCTCCCTGTCTGGACTCAAGGCTGATGTGGGAGATTGGTTCAGCATGAGAGCCCTTCCCCCTGCTACCCACAGGTGAATGTGCTGCCAAATCTCACCTCTGACTCCTATTTGCTGCCCTCAAGTCATGCCATCGTGTGGCATGAGGCGGGATAACACTTGCAGTATAGACCCTCTTGATGCTGTTTTCCTGTTGCCCAGCAGAAACACTGAAGGAATTACAGCCCACTGGGCAGATACTTACAGATGCTGATGGCCACAATCCTTTCCTGTGACCTAATCCAAACATCACTTCTTTTCTTAAAAAACAGTAAAAGCCCAGCATTGTTACTGCCTTACTACTATTGCTGTCACTTCCTAGTAGCAGCAACAAAACATGGGTTGCTCCAGGCAATAAATTCCCATTTCTCATCTCCTCTTTCCTTTGTTTTATCTTCTACTCCTGTGCTTTGTTTTCATCTTTCTTAGAGATTCAGAAGTATTTTATGCTGCAGTAACAACTGACTCTCAGGAACACTCCAAGAGTGTAGCTCTGATTCTTGCAGAACGTGGAGGGAGAAATCTGGGGGAAGGGGACAGAAGGTGAGGGAGTCGAGCAAAAGCAGGAGGGCGATACAGCCCTGATGGACCAGAAGAAAGAATGAGCTCAAGGAATGAGTGTGAAGGCAGAACAAGGGGCAAATGATAAGAGATAATGGCATAAATATGGGCAGGAAGAACCAACACAAGGCCTTAAAGACAGAATTAGCAATATGATGAAAAGAGTTAAGGACTGTCAGTAAGTAGATGCACAGTCTGAATGGTAATGGATCAGAATTTTTAGCTGAAGCACTGTGAATGTTAAGGAGAGGAGGAAAACAGGCAGCAGAGAACTTGTAGCAATCCAGTTAGCCAGAAGGGACCTTGTCTCAGCTCTTCAGACCTCAGAAGCTCAATGGAACAAGGTGGGATGATCATGAGAATAGGCTTTCTCAGGGAATTCTTGAGGTTTTCAGATGGAAATAGCATAGAGGAACCTTTGCACAGCAGATTTATATCACTGCTGGCTTTGCTCCTAGCTGGAAATGCAAGGCAAAGTGAAAATAAATATTTCTTTTCCTTCAGCAGTCCTCAGTCATTGAAAAATCGAGTGAGTCTGTGAGTTTGGTTTAATCAATGCTGCTCTGGCCAAACTTCTCACTTATAGACAAAAATGCAAGTACGCTGAAGAGATAACAAGACTAGAAAAAAATAACACTACTGACAATGACCTTTGAGCAAAAGTGGATTTTGTTTCTGTTACACTCATATCTCTTAAACATCCTAGAACCAAGATCCCAGCAGCAGAGTTCACAGTGAGGTGTTTGAATAAATGACTTGATTTGTCTGAAGTTCAGAGCACTATGAATGAAGTGGAAACATCAAGTACCAAGTTTCTTCCAAAACAAATTAATTAGTTGTGACACCTTTTCTGATCCCATGTCTTTGACATGCCTCTTGTGACATCTTGGACTTTTTGGCTTGGTTTCCTGGTGGAGAAACTGTCAACGATCACAATCTGGGTGTGTTCCAAGGGTTTTGTCACAGAATCTTGGAAAAAATGGCCTAAAACCATGCAGAATTTTCTTTTTTTGTGTGTGTGTGTGCTGAGGGGAATAACCTTAAGAAAAAAGAAATCTTCTGTTGACTCATGGAACATATTCTAAGCAGAAAAAGTAGTGAAGGATATCTGGTGTAGCTGAAACTAATTGCAGTGCATCTTTCTGAGATAAAACAGTAGCTCTTACTAAAAAAAGATAGTCTTAAATATTTTGTGAAACCATACTGTCTGCTGATGCTTTCCCAGAGTATCACGGTGGATATTGAACTCTGGCCATGTGACTCTGATAAAGACAGCATAGGCTTTTAATTTTTTTTTTTTTTTTAATGTTGAATAGCTTCATTTTGGCTGAAAGAACCAAATTTGAGAGATGGAGAAATGCTGTTTATCAGCACGATAACCTTGTGTGGCAACAGACTCATGATAAATACTCCATAGATCTAGAAGTTCAGTCCGACACATAGTCTGGACCAAAGGGTTCTCTTGCAGTGTGATAATTTATTGTATTGCCCAGCCAACTGGAGTGGCATTAAAATGAATTATACCAAGCTCCTGGTTTGGAAATGGCCTTTAGTCCATTATGTTTTAAGTACATATTTCTTAAAGGAGAGAAGGAACCTTGGAGAGAGAGAATGACTTGGAAACAAACTGTAACCATGACATTCTGCCCTCTCTTCTCTCCTCTCCTTGCCATTTTTGGCAATTAGGGCATTATTTCTTCTTTCCTGTCAAGGACTGGTAGGCTTTGAAAAAGGCTTTTCAGTCATTTGCCTTGTTGTGATTTGCAGAAAAGGAATACAAGAGTGGTTTATTCTTCCATGCCTGCACAACTATGTCTGTGCTTCCTTTTTCCTAGTACATGTCCTTTGCTTGTTTTCTGATGAGGTTTCATAAAATCAACATAAGAGATGCATCAGTGGGTTGCCTGGGCTAAATCCTTGATAACTTACAACTCTTCCATGATGCCACAAACCACGATGTGCTGTATCATTTAGCCAGCTAACTCATGTGTGAGAAGGTCTCAAATTTGTCAAATTAATTCTCAGGTTACTGGGGAAATGAATTTTCTTTTATTTTCTCTTATTTTCTTTTAACCTATGCTAATTTTAAATACCATACTGATTATCTGGTGCACTGTCAATTATGTAACTACCACAGCTCCTGTATTTCTCCTGCAAATAGAAAAGTTTTCAGCACAACCATAAGCATTCAGGGTGCATTCTCTGGTAATAACTCATACTTTCATGATATCAGATAGGATGACTCCCAGAAAGACAGTCTGATTTGGCTTATCTAAGATAGTTAGTTAAGACAATGCAGTTTTGATCCATTGCAGCCTATCTAACCCTGCAAACCCTGATCATTCTGACACAGAGCACACGTACAGGTCTGAGTGTCACTGCATGGCTTCAGCAATCCACATCATTGTGTGGTTGCCATCAGTCTCCTCATCCCCTCCTCACCTTCATTTTAGGAACTGAGCTCTCACGAGCACTCACTTTGCATTTTGATCTCTCTGGCCTCCAGTAAAGCGTGCAATTCAATATGATACCCAGATAGATCATGTGCTAGTCAAGGGCGAGTCACCCTCAATCTTGGATGTGCAAAATTGCTTATTGAGTCTAAAGGTGGAGGAGACTCACATCTGTTTCCCCTGAATTCATACACAGTCAGCTTTGGATGCACCAATCAGATATCCAGGAAGGATGCTCAGGTCACCATGGCTATGATTTGCATGAAGTCCTTAAAACTGCATTCCTAGTTTTGGATTGTGATCCCTTAGTCACCTGCAAGAAATTAGATTTTATACGATCATAGCTTGGTTGCTTGTTATGACAGATACCAAAAATATTGGTACAAGTACCCTTTTCTAATAGCTCATATTGCAGTCTGCACCATTGGATCTGGTTCTCACATGGTTTATGTAAACTATGTGCAATCCCTATGAAGAGATGATCAATTTGTGTAATTTAATAATTACAAATAAAACCATACTTCACATTTTTCCAGTGTCATGAGCAGCTGCTGATGGATCTACAAACATAGAGTATCTGTCCATGCCCTCCCAAGGCTCTCTTGGAACTGCTCAGTGATGTTAAGCACTTGGACAGCAGGGATTTTTTGGGAACAGTCCAGCTTGCTCTGGTATTAGTAACCATTTAGCAAATGGTGATAACTAATTTAATTAGGATCAGATGCTGATGCCATTTGTGAAGATGATGCCGTATGGACACAACCCACTGTTCTTTGGCTCTGAAGCATCTTTCTCTGATTTTTGGAGTGCCATGAGATACAAGCACAAACACACTGACAGCAATGCACAGTAAATGGTTGGAGTATTTGGATATTTGTCATTCAACCAAGGTATTTCATCTACTCAGTTGTCAGATGCCATCAAGACCAGCAGTTTTATATTTCTTGAAAGGATTCATTTCTCAAATGACTGTCTCAAAGTAATCAATGCTCTGAAATTCTTGTCACTTACTGTGCAATTTACACTTTAGGTCTAATTTACACACTTTGAGTGCTCAGAAGATTGGTCTACAGTGATAGTGTATGTCTACTTCTTGTCAGTCAATAGAGGGATCCTGACTAATTGCTAGTGTTTTTCTGCTGTTGTGGGTTATGCCTACTTGCTCTCTGGAGCATGACTTCCATCTTCTGTCAGTTCACGAAAAAATATCCTCAGTTAATAAGTTGCTTTACAGGTCAAGAAAATCCTGTTTGTATTTTTTACATCCTACAATTTGCACAGTTTCCAGCTAAGCTGTGGAGCTCCCTGCCACAGGATAACACAGATAGTCAAAGTTTCTATGGTTTTTGGAAGCTGTTACACAGGTTAATGGGATCTGTTGTATTATCTCCTCTCCATCTAGCAATGGTGCTGAGGACAGAGGCCTGATACAGCTTGTTTTACTTATTTTGTCAGTCCTGGCTGAAGACATTTTGGATCACAGACTTGATCCAAAATATGCATATGACCATATTTCTATCACTTCCACACATCACAGCTTGTGTTGAAGCACCAGTTGAACCAGTAGCTGTTAAGTTTACTGCCAGTAAACTTTTGACCACCATAAAAACTGACCATTTGGTGTGGTGACATACAGAGAGAAGAACCAGAAATGCTGCTGACACCTCAAGGGAGATTCCTGATTCCCCTACTGACAACAGGACCAGGATTAACTATAACCCTACCATTTTTCACGTATGCTTTTTTCCCTGGTCAGGTTCATTCTTAGTGACCTGGATGTTTATTCCCTTACATTGTGTTTGTGGACATAACACCTGGCAGTTACATTTATTTCACAGCTGGTTGATGATTTCTTGTTTGGCAGCTGAGGGGTCTTCAGCATTTGCAGATATTATTGTCAGTGCTGGTTCTGGTAAGAAGCCTTTGTGGGTAACTAACAGCTTGCACATCTAGGCACATCTTTAGCTGTGATATTGGGTATTTAGCAGGATTTGTGGATTCATAGAATCTAACACGATAGCAATGAAAAAGCATTTCTGCTGGGATCCTGTTATAGATTAATATCTATGAAATATATTCCATTTTCTATTCTCTACATGGCTGCTACAGGTAACTCCAGAGTGAGAAAACGGGCAGAGTTCTAAATTTTGCCTCATTGTTGCATCTCTGATTAAAAATATTCTTGTTGATATACAGCAAATTTGAAATCTCATGAAGTTTTTTGTCTCTATATTGAGAAACTAAGAGAATTTATGCATAAGACTGAAACAGATCTGACTCCCTGAAAACAGGTTTTTAACCAAGAATTCTTTCTTATTTTATTAACCAACTGAGAGTATATCTACTGTGTGACCGAGTCAATGCTCTATTATTTCAAATTTGTAAGTGCCCTACTCTGGTCCTCCAAGGAGTTCTCCAGTACAGTTGTGAGAGAGTTTCACAATCTCTACTTCCAAATCACATTTTTTCCAATGTTTTCCTCATCAAGAAGCAGCAGAAAGAGAACAAAAATACCTTTAATCTGCTAGTTTCTCAGATATTCCTCCACCGGTCTGTGAACACAGAAGGAGAGATACTTCTAGAGATACAGTAGCTGAAACAATTCACTTTTCACAGTTGTTTTTTTGATTGTTTTGTACAGACACAGCAGTCAGAGTCTCTAAGCCTTGAGCAGTCTCCTCATTTTTTGCTGCTGAGATCCTTCAGAAGTGGGGACAGATTTCGCAATGCTGTTGAAGGGCTGATGGAAGCTGGTGGCATTTGGCTCTGGTTCTGAGATTTTGCTGGATGGGTTTTACTCTCTGAACAGGAACTCTTTCTCTCCACATTTAAATGTTTAGTTGAGGAAGGTTTGCTCTTATAAAATTGGTATGCTGCAAGTACAACCAAGATCCAAGGAACAGAGCAGCTTAGATAGCAGCCATCAATGAGCAGAAATCCCTCTTCCTTCACAGAACATGTAAATACTGTCAGAGCATAATGGGGTTTAAAAGGATTGAGAAGAAACTGAGGCAATATAATATTAGATAGGAGTAGGGCTCTGCAGAACATATTCCATAAAAATCCCACATCCCCATTTTTAGAATCATTCTCCTTTTTCCAATCAGTGCTTCCAGGCTCACCAATATTGAGAACATGTGGTTTAATAACAAAGCCCAGCGTTGTCTGTGTGGTTTTTTTGTTTGAGTGTTGGTTTTTTTGGTTGGTTGTGGTTATTTAGCTTTTGCTTGTTGTTTGGGTTTTTTTGTTTTTTTGTTTTTTTTTTCCTTAATAAGAAACCTGACAGGTTTTTTTAATAATAAAACCAGTGCTTAGCCTCAGTCAGAGAGCAAAGCTCTCACTATGTTGCAAGTTGCTAAATCTACAGGAAGATGAACTCCTGCCCTAAGCAGCAGGGAACAACAGGTATGTGCTAAAGAAAGGGGAAGGGTTGGTTGCCTTGGAAGGACAGGAGAAAATGATGTAAAGACAAGAAAGGGATGCTTTGATTTTTAAAATAAATCTGGGTTGGTTTAAATCTTTTCAGATGAACAGCATTACCCCAGTATAATGAAACAGAAAAATGCAGCGCCTAACCCTGGAAGATGAGAGATGTACAAACCAAATCCGTAATGTGCACAGCAAGCAAGAAATGGCAATAACTTTCTAGCTACGAGTCTAGGATGCTGCTGTCAAAAGCACTGATGACATTTGATGCAGCAAATGAGACTGGAAGGAAAATTCAGAGTCAACATTTGCCCTGGGGCTTCTGACAAGTAGATGTAAACTGATGGTCATCAGGATCCTCTGTCAGTGGAAGAACATGTCTCAGGACATGTTGAAATTGAGTTATCATTGGCTAAATTGAATTGCAAGAAATTTTTGTGTGTGTGTGTGTGGAGTCCTTTGAACTGAAAGAGCAGTTGAGGAATGAAAACCTGAATGAGGAATGAAAACTGAACTGCAAGCAGAGAGGAATGAAAACCTGTGGTGTGTTTCTGTGCAGGCAGTGTTCGGTATTTGTGAGCTGGGACCTGTGATTTTCCTTACCAAGCTGAAGAGCTTACTGTTAAAAGGCAAAACATGGTCTAATGAACATGGAGAGACATAAATGCTCAGGAGCATTTCTGAATGCTGTGAATAGAGGCCTTAGGAAGGAACTGCCTCCACTTCCCCAAGTATTTGTTCCTGTTCCAAAGCAGAATTCCTGTCAGAACTGTGGATTAGAATAACAGGCAGCTGTGTCTCTTCTCTTACAGAGCAGCCACTAAAAGTTCTCCAGACTCCAACTGTACAAACAATTTAATTTCTAGTTCTAAAAAGCATATTTCATCTTTTTTTTTATAAGGATTTCAAATTTTGTTTCAGAGCTTTGTTAAACTGGGATTTATTGGTGATACATCATCAGAAAACATGCAAAGCTCCTTTATTTTTCCGAGCAACTGTTTAAGGGTAAAAGTCTGCAAAGGCAAGTATCATTATTTTTATGTCACTGTCTGTACATGAAATAGAAATTTTCAATCAGATTTTGATCCCATATATATATATATATGTACACTCATAGATACACATGTATATATTTATAGATTTATAGATTTATAGATTTAAAAATTATATTTATATAATTTGAATACCTCTTCCTCTACCTGATGAATGTTGTGTTTACAAAAATAGATTTAGAACTGAATGAACAAATATGACCTATTTTTGTCTTTATTTAGACGAATACAACTGACTTCAATAGAAGTTGCTTCTGATTAAAGCTAGTGAGTGTACCAGAGCAGCCTTTATGTATCAGGGTATAGAACAGCAAGCTGAAATCACCCAAACAAGTTTACAGTTCAAGCTAGGATTTAAAAGTCCTGAAAATCCTATTTATGTAATTTTTATTTCCCTTTAACCCCTTGGCAATAGCTGGTAGGACTCCTGCCATAAGCACTAATGAATTTTTCATTGAATTCTGACTCTTGGCATTTAGGGCTTAATAAAATCTTCTTTTCCTTTATCTGGAAGATTCCTTTTCTGCTAATTGGTGTCAACATCAATCAAGATCAGAAGTGCAACAACACTAGTTTAAAGGCCTTTTGCTCATCTGCTTTATACCCCAAGTAATATGGAGCTGTAGTCAGCTTACACATAAAAGTGGCAATAAATATCCTTTCACTGTAAAATGCAAAAAATTCTTAGAAACTTTGGAAAATGGTCCTGTTGCTGTAAATTAAAAGCTGCTTTCAGAGGTCTGTCAGTTACACAAGTGGCATTTTGAGCGACTGGGGCTGTGCTAAATACTTTGTGTAGCCTTAGAAGAGCTTCCTCTAGACCTCCAAAACTGTGGATGACACTGGACTTTTTATTTAGAGGAAGATCCTCTGGAAGATGAGGGCTGGATCACAGCTCCATGAATGTACATGCCTAACATCATAAGCATCTTTGGGGGAACTTTCGTTGTTTATGCAAGTTAAATGCATTGTTAAAACCTGTGGCCAGGGTAGGGCGGGAAGTATGGTTGCTGATGGGGAGCACCTTGTTTCCATTAGAGGTGACTGCCCCTTGCTCTGTGCAAGGCTGGAGACCTTGGTCCTACTGAATTTGGGGTTTGCCCAGGTCAGAAGCAAGATCCAGGCAATCCAGGACTCTGCATAAGTCCCTGCAGATGATGTTTGGTGCTGCCCAAAATGTTGTGTGTGTTGGCAAGACAGTGGCTCCTGGGGCAGTCAGCTCCCCCCATCCCTGCAGGAACTGGTAGAAGGCACAGCAGCCCACCAAATTCAGTTGTGGGGTTGCAATGACTTCTCCTTCTGCCTGCTGAGAGATTTGGAATACTGTTATTTGTCTAGACAAGTCATGAATGGATGCTATCTAAAATAAAGAAGTGTAATCCTTACAGCGGCAAGGGACCACAGCCTCTATCCCCGACAAAGGGTAAGGTGGTAACAAAGGGTAGGTGTGTGTGAGCACAGAGACCAAGCCAAGGACTGCAGGAATGACTGGGAAAAGTTTCTGAGGAATGGCCTTTAACAATGACCAAAACTTGTGTGGCAACTCCAGCTCAGGGTTCCCTACCTCCATCACTCTTACTGCAAGTATGGAGTTGAGAAGGGATGTGGAGATCCCAATGCCTTTGTAGGGCCAGCACAGAAAGCTCCATTGATGAGTCTGGTTGTGTTCTCTCAGAGACAATGTATTGATTAAAATACATTGTAAAATGGAAGTGAAGAAAAAGATTTTTCTACACAGAGAATCAAAGACACACAGTAGAAACCGTAATTATTTTCTTTAAAGCAAGGGTAAATTGCATGCAGGATATTTCCTGCCTTTCCCATGGCTGAGCTGGGAAAAAGTACTTTTGTTCACAGAAGCAGTATGAGACTGAAGTCATTCCTGAGAGAGGATCAGGCACAACAAACAGCAATTTCCAGTCCTCCCATGCATGATACCTTGTGGCTCACACTGCTGCACAATTCATTGAGCTGCAGCATTAGGTTGGCTTCATCTTGTTGCCCACTGAAGCCTAAATGAAAAAAGGAAAGCTTCATGGTACTTCCTTTGTTAGGTGCTGCAGTGCCCATAAAGTAAGAATATACAAGGGAAGGACAAGCACGTACATGGAATCGTAGGATCATTTAGGTTGGAAAAGATCCCTAAGGTCATCGAGTCCAAGTGCTAACCCAGCACTGCCAAGTCCACCACTAAACCATATCCCCAAGTGCCACATCTACATGTCTTTTAAATATCAGCAGGGATGGGAACTCCAGGCCTTCCCTGAGCAGTCTGTTCAATTGCTTGACAACCTGTAGTGAAGAAAAGTTTCCTAATGTCCAATCTAAACCACCCATGGCACAATTTGATGCCATTTCCTTCTGTCCTATCACTTCTTACTTGGTAAAAAAAAAGAGGTTGATCCCATCTGGCCACCCTCTCCTGCCAGGGAGTAGTAGAGAGTGGTACATTCTCCCCAGAGCATATTTTTCTCCCGGCTAAACAGCCCCAGCTCCCTCCACTGCCCCTCATAAGTCTTGAGCTCCAGACCCTCCACCAGCTTCATTGCCCTTCTCTGGGCCTGCTCCAGCCCCTCGATGTCCTCCCTGAGCTGAGTGGCCCAAAACTGGACAGAGCACTCAAGGTGTGGCTCACAGTGTCCAGCACAGAGGGACAATCACTGCCTTGGTCCTGCTGGCCACACTAGTGCTGGCCATGCTGCCATTGGGCACATGCTGGCCCACATTGAGCTGCTGCTGGCCAGCACCCCCAGGGCCTTTCCCACTGGCAGCTTTCCTGCCACTTTCCCCCCAGCCTGGGCTACTGCAGGGGCTGCTTGGGAGATAAGGGTGATAGTAAAAGGGTTTTAAAATCATGGGGATTTACGGTTAAAAGGAAAATTAAGCTTAGTAGGCCCTGAGAAAAAATAAATACCCTAGGTACATGAAGACCTTGTACCTTGCTAGAACTGCACCTGTGTAGCTAGTACATGATAAGTGATATAATTGTTAGATGTGATCATTGTTTAGTAATTAAATATAATTACTGTTTAATCATAAAAATAATAATGAGAAACTGTGGTTGGGGGCCTAAGATCACGAGAAACTCATGTCAATGTATACAATAGAACAATATAGGTTTAATAATTAATATGTAAGTTATATAACGATAGAATATAAAATACGTTCAGCTTAAAAGCCATGTTGGAGTCAGATTTGGGTCTGTACCCCTGATTCCCAGAGCTCTCAATAAAAGCACCTGCATGTAATCATATCCCGTGATTATGTGTGTTCCTGAACGCTAACAAGGGCAGGACCCAGCACTTTGCCTTATTGAACCTCATACAACTGGTCTCTTTCCATCGACCCAGTCTTTCCAGATCCCTCTGCAGAGCCCTCCTAGATTGACAGATTGACATTCCCACCCAGCTTGCTGTTGTCTGCAAATTTACAGAGAATACACTCGCTCCCCTCACCCAGATCATCAATGAAGATATTGAACAGGACTGGGCCCAGCACTGATCCCTGGGGGACCACCAATGACCAACTGGATGCAGCACCACCACCCCCTGGGCCCAGCCACCCAGGCAGTTCTTGACTCCGCAAAGAGTGAACCTGTCTGAGCTGTGGCTTTCAGACTTTTCCAGCCTGGAATGCCATTTTGACACTGCTTCATCACACAGTGCAGCACAAGACTGTGTCTGGTCAATACAGCAATGGCAAATCTCTTGGTATCCTGCAGACCATTGTGCATTTTGAGTAATAGCTGCCTGGGGAGCAGGTTAATGCCAGGCACAGGCTCTGTTTGCTGTAACTCACGTGAATAGCTCTGAACAGAAAGGCTGAATGTTGCGATGACAACACATCAATAAGTAAAGCCACTTTCTCCACATTTTGACATGAATTGCCTGTCTTGGATACTGCACTATAATCAGTGCTTGCATCACCAGGAGGAAAATAAAGGCCAGTATGACCTTCTGGAGCAATAGGACCTGTTTGCCTAGACTGATGAGAGAGTCATTAGTCTGAAAAGTTACTTGGACTGTCAGTAACCTGCTCACTGTGTGATGCAGTGCCTTGGCTGAGCCACACCTCTGAGTTTAATTTATCCCTTTTGCACAGGGTGAGTTCTTTAGGGACTGTTAGAGTAAATGCAGGCACGATGGCTGGGCAGCCTGCAGCACTACAAGGACAGCACAGACTTTGTGCAGAATCAAACACGAGCCCTTTGGGGTGGATCACTGGGGTACAGAGGGAGAGAAATGGGAGGAGTAGTTTTGCTGGTATTTCCAGCAGCCCTCCTGACCCATCTGGCTCTCTGCGCCCCTGGCACTTAAGGAAGGAAGCAGCTACAAAAGCAGCGGGGCTGATTGTGCGTTAGAGAGGTTCTCCTATCAGCAACAAAACAGACTATTTTGTCTCCATTCACCTTCTAGGCAGATCAGGGCTGTTCTTAATGCTGGTCTTAGCTGTTTCCCTATTCATTTCCCACATATTTCAAACAAACAGGGATGACAAAAGCATGCAATTTATTGCAACACACAGTGTTGGTAATTTTGCAGGATCTGAGGCCAGCTGAACAATATGCTCCTGACCTTAAATTGCTCATTCCCCTTTGCTGTTAAGTAAAAAAATAAATCAATGGGTAATTCCTTTCTCTCACCATACCTCCTCTCCCTCCTCCATTTTTAAAGCCAGACATCAGTCCTTTTTATTTAGTCATGACAATGAAACTAGTGCAAAGAAAATCTTAGTACCCAACCAATATGTTTAGTTTCTTTTATAATGTTAATTAGGTGTGCTTAGTGTCTTTCTGAGAAAGGCAGAATGCTAACCTTAGAAACTCAGATAATCCTATTGTCAAATGTATTTGTTTAATAAAATAGGTTTGTTTCTTTTTCTTAGGAGGACTTATCTTAGAGGATTTAGCTTCTCCTCTAAAATCCAGACTAACCAGTGGATTCCTGCATACCAGCATATGTTGCGGGCCAATGATTGCAGAATTACCTGCTGCTATATCTTGTCTGAGCAATGTATGCAGCTGCAGTATAGCACAGCTGCTTGAGGAGCTGGGAGAGATGTAAAACCATTTTAATCCTCTGTATTCTTACCTGAAGTTATTGAATAGCATGTTATTAGAAAAAAAAATGAGGAAGGTTCTTTTTTAATACACACAAAATATGAGCAAGGTGCTCCTGCTGCTGTTGAACACATTCTTTGGTAAGTGCAAATTAATTTAGATTTGGAAGTAGTTCGAGCAACTAGTTCCTCTTTTCATTTATACACATACACTTTCTGAATTGGAGAGGCTGGATGCAGTGCACCTTCAGCACTTCAAAGAAGTGAAATGGCACATGGGGAAAAGGACTGGATAGTAGCAAAAAACCACATTGTGTAAGTCTGAAGTTTCCAATGAGTGAATGGACGCAGTATTCTTTGTGAATTTTTGTAAGCATGTCTGTTTAAATGTGTTTTTTTACAGCATCATGACCACACTGAGCCTGGCAGCACCTGTGAAGTGGGAGCCTGAGGTGTGTTTGTTTCCTTCCCTCTCATGCCCACGGTAGTGAGGCTGCTCTGTGTCCTCCCAGCTTGCTGTGCACAGGACAAAAGGAGCACAGGCATGCAGGCACATTATCTGAGCTGTCCATATGGGACCAGAATTAGGATTTCCTACCAGCACAGAGAACCATTCTAATAGTAAGAAATAAGCCATAGGAATTAAATTACAAATGTATGTGCTGCCCTTAGGGGATATCAGTTTGTATCACAGGGTATCCATAACCATTCCCTTTTGTGCTGCTGGGCAGCAGAGGCCAGTTAAGCTGCTCTGTGGCAAATGAACTGTTAATATCTAAGGCACCCTCTAAGAGAATGAGGGCACTATTTCAATTTATTGTACTGCGATGAAATGTGAACTGCAGCAAAAATAGGAAAAAAATCTGTTTCAGTGAACAATCACATTTTGGAATATTTTTGTCCTCAGTGCTAGAAATTTAATAAAACAACTGGAAGTCATCAGGAAATAAATTATTTTCCGACTAAGGAAAAAGGTTTTGGGGCTTGTTCAGAAAAGTTGAATATCATTCTCATTTCTGTTTCAGATGAGCCATGTCACAGAGACCAGCCATGATTTGTTTTCTCAGCAGGCTATTTCCTTCAGGGCTAGTTAGGCCTTTGATTTCACTTGATATGGAAGTACCTGTGGTCTTCTGAGCCTGGGTATCTTGCAACATGAACAATCAACAATAAAAATTAATAAAAAAAAAAAAAAAATATGTGCCAACAGGCCAGTTTCATGAAGTACAGAGCCACAAGGTCAGTAGTCCTTGATAAGCAGCTGGCTGTGAATCACCACTGCTGATTAATCCAAAGCATTGCAGTGACAATGTTTGCTGTCACAGAATCGTAGAATGACTTGGGTTAGAAGAACCTTAAAGATCAACTGGTTCCAATGCCCTTGCCATGGGCAGGGACACCTTGGCCAGGTTACTCAAAGCCCCATCCAGCCTGGCCTTGAACTTCCAGGGACAGGGAGTCCACAACTTCTCTGGGCAGCTTGTGCCAGTGCCTCACCACCCTCACAGGAAAGAACTTCTGTCTAATATCCCTCACTTCATTTTCCTACATGGTCTTCTGCAGAAGTTAATTTTACAGAGCCAACATCCAGCATTTTATTTATTTTAAATTTATTTGCCATGAAGTTCCCCTTCACTCCTTTTCTTAGTGGTTTCCCCCCTCCTACAATGCGTAGGAGTAACAAGAAACCATTCGGTTTGTGCTGGTTTAAGACTTGTCATCCTGTGCTTTATGACTTAGAATTGGTCTTGTTAGGAAAAGAAGTCACTGGGAACAGAGACTTATTCTCTGTTAAGAATGACAGCAGGATAGACAGGTGTCATCTCATGATGACATTTAAAGGTGGACGAGCCCCATGAGTGAGGGAGTTCAGTCTGATGTAATCAGTGTCAACCCTTATGAAGACTATTTTTGTCAACTTTATTTATTCCTTTGAGACATTGCTTTATAATAACAGGAAGACTGTAATTTAAATGGTGATGGGGCGTGGGTGGTTGAATTATTCATTCTTTACAGGAGGCAGACTCCATCGAAATCCAAAAGTGGCCGACCTGCAATATCCTGTCTCTTCCCTTCCCACCTGCTCTTGCCTGAAACACAAAAAGAATTCTATGGCTCCTTCAATTAATCTGCAGGGATGGAAAATTAGCATGTTTCCCTTTTATTTAAGGAAGATGTTTCATCCCTGAGACTTTTACAGAGACACCTTAATTGGTCATCCTTCTGAGGTTTCAATTTAAAAAGAAACAATGGGCAGCATTTTGTAGACAGCCTATGTAAAAAAGCTGAAGTTTATTGTAACGTGGATCTCTGAACCACTGAAATAAAAATTTGTGTGGGAAATTTCCAATAGCTTCTACTATTTAAATGCAAATGTGCATAAGGAGCTTTGTTCTAGATATCAGTCATTTGATACAGCTTGGGTTTTGTCCCTGCCCTTAAATACCTGAGATTCCTGCTGAGATGCACATTCTTAATAAAAAAACAAAACCAAGAACCAAAACAACAAAAACCTCCAACAGCAACAACAAAAAAACCCACAACTGAAAAACCCCAAGAACCAACCCACCAATCTTCCCCCCAGCTTGTGCATCTCATGTCAATATTCCCTGTGCAGAATCTTTAAAAAATTGTTTCATCCAGGCTGGTCCCTCACCTTATCCAAATGGCCCTTAGGCCACCAGCTGCTGCTGGAGCAGAGAGGCACATATAGGGGAATATACTGGCCATGGCATGCCAAATGCATTTGCCACAGCAGCAGCCCTCTTTATTTCTGTCTCTTCCTCTAGAAATCTTTAATGTGTTTAAATATTAAAGCTGGACACATATCAGTGGATCCCCTGCGGAGTCTTTTATTGAAAACATCCAAAACCCAATAAAAATCAGCTGGTCCTTTTGATGTTTGTAAAGTGGTTGCTAACTGAGGTGGCTGGGCTGGGAGTCCAATATCAGACTCCCATAAAAATATCTACAGAATATTTCTAATAATGCTGATAATTGTAATCCCCTTGCTGGATATTTAATTTTGCACAATAACATATCCTTTATTTTTTTAAAAAAGGCTATTTAGAAGGATTTGTGTGCTTCATTTCTATCTCAATGTAGCATTGATTTTCTTTGTGTCCTAAAGAAATCCCTTAACCAAAAAATACATTGAAGTTACAGAAATCTATTTATTTCCTAGGCAAAACTGTTGATAGTACTGTCTAAACCAGAATTGTTTCATCTGTACTAAGAAGGGAAAGTGGTTACTGTGTCAACAGGGTGGAAACTCAGCAATTCTAGCATTTAGGGTTTGGTGGTTTTTTTTTGCCATAACAATGCTGCTCCACTTGCATCTCCCCATAAAAATGGAGAACGACAAAAGACTTCCAGGTACTTTTCATGATCACAGACCCAAGCACAGCTGGGAAGAACAGCAACTTCCCAGCCCTTTAGGATTAAGTTAACACGCAAAAGAAGCTTACATGCTTTGCTTTACAAAGCAAACCCTTTCCATGCTCTCAAATCAAGACCAGTAAAATACAAGGACAAATGTCCATCTCCTGCAGAAATATTTATACTTCCATTTAATTTTAACATCAGGCACCAATACTTTTCATGTGGATTGAAAATGAAAGTCAGAAGACAATAGAGGTTCTCAGCCAAAGTAGTATTGTCTGTCTGGAAGAACAAACTCTTTCAGCAGCCGCCACATTAACCATTGGCCTCAGTCAGTTTTCCAGTGAGTAGCAGGCGCTTTTCCAATTTTCTAATACATACTATTGCCTTGGCAAGGAGTAAATGGGATCTTATGCCAGGACACTTGTATCTAGACCATACTTTGACTCCTTGCTGTGTTTGCAGAAATTCCAGGTACACATCATTAATCACAAAGCCTGTCCGATTCTTGAATTATTTAATACAATATTGGAGAGGTTTTGAATTATTTAAAGCAATATGCAAAAGGTTCTCTGTGATATACATGCAGAGATTATTAAGAACCTTGCTAAACAGACTTAAATTGCCAGAACATAATATCAGCTACCCATGTTCCATAGCCCTAACTTGAGTAGGGAATGAAACAAAATACTGCTGTCCAACAGCCTCCTGCTTTATCCTAAAATTTACTGCAACTGTTATAAATAAATGAAAAGGTTTTAATCTACCTCATTTGAAACTGCTCAAAACATGACAGGGAAAAGCAGCCAGCACATTGGGATATGGTATTAGTGGAGAATGGAAAAGCAGGAGGTTTATCTCATCCTCCTGATGCTGTGAACAGGCAGGTAGAACATGGGGACAGATTGTCTTCCAAAATGTTTTGATCTCTTTTTCTGTAGAGGTCAGGAATGAACGAGCAACGTCTATAATGAATTTGGTAGTTTTTCAAGATATATTAAGAGTGAAAAACATTACTTTCGTCTGCTTGAGAAGTTCATTCAGCTGCTTAGTCATACTCAGAACAAGTTGTCCACAGCCCAATCGGTACAAAGGGTGCTCCAGGAGCCAAATGGCAGAGCTTGACATCAAAATGTGACTTCAGCGTAACCTCATAAGCAGTCCAGCCCACATTTAAAGAATGACTTTGTGGCCATGAGATTGTTTTTCCACCACGATTATGCTTTCCCACTGAAATGGTCCTCATGCTCATTATAAAGATGGGTTGGTAGAAACATCCTGAACCCTAGAGAAGGCAGAAATGGCAGCTCAGTAATTCTCATTTCAAAAGAATAAAGAGAATCAAGAGAATCAGTTCCTGCATCCTTCCTCCTCCTCCTCTTTTCTTGCATAGCCATTTGCTAGGGAAGACGGGGACCAGCTGCTTAGAGACCCTTGAGGACAGATGCTTATAGATTTAGGATCCTACAGAAGAGAGCATGCCAGGTGACCCTAATCTGAGATGCTGTCTCAGTTGGATGATGCCTTTAGGCACATTAGCTGATACACTCAGGTTAATTTCTTGAAACTTTTCATCCCAGCCAAGCTGGTGAACTGAAATTTCCTACACAGTTCTTCCCTTTAGCTTCACGCAGAGAAGCTGAGATTCTCCTCCAGCCTTGCAGAGCTGCAATTCTTTGTGCGAGTGTGCCCATACTTCCTTTAACCTGGCCCAACAGGGACATGGACCCTAAGGAGTAATTTTCAATAGAATATAATTTTCCCTCTAAGTAATTTATCTCTGAAAAAAAGCCCAGTCAGTTTTCCCTGAAAAGTACATAGCATTTTCCCATTATTAACCTTAAAATACTACAATTAAATGGTTAAGAAGGGTGGCAGAAGAGGGATTACTGACATATATTTTTTAGCTAAGTAATCACAATGGAAGCATTCACTTTTCCACTCATTTTGAGATGGCCATGAACCTATCATATAGCCAACTCTAACACACCAGGGTAATATATGATGGTGAAACATCTTAGTTTATCCATTCAGTTTGCCCTGTGAGTTTACAAGGGCTGAAAATCTATTTGCTTTTCACTTCGTTTAGCCTTGATTTAAAGGTATGACAGGAAATAAGTGGATGCCATAGTTCAGTGTCTCTCTGTGTGGAATAAAGCCTGTCTCACACATTGTTGCTGAGGTTTCTGCTGCAGTATGGACACAGGGGTGTGACCCCATGTGCATAAGGGACAAAGGAAAACACACAGCTCTGTGCCTGACAACAAGGCAGGCACAAAACATTCAGGATTTTGCCCACTCCTTTGTCCAGTGGTTTGATTATTGGAGAAATGTAAGGCAGCCCCACTGCACCTCCACAGGGAGTGCTCCTGGGACTGTGCAAAGCATCAGGAGGCCCAGATTAACCAAGAACTTGAATTTCTACATATGTGAAAGGTTCTGAATATTTTGGGAGAGAAAAGAGCATCTGGGGGCAGCTCTTCTGTCTGGGTGTATCATGCTTCCACTGGTGCAGGGCAAGTCTAGTTTTGTGATTTGTTTTATAATGTCATGTAGAGTAAGGTGATCTCTTTCCCTTCCCTCTCTACAAGTCCCCAGGCTTTGCTGACATTGTACTAGGTGGATGTTGCCCTGTACACTTTTTGGTAATTCATTCAGCACCACATTCTCTTTACTTCATGTACATACAAAATTACAACGTAGAAGTTGACCAGCCAATGCCTTGTCTATCCTGAAGGCAACGTTATCACACCACAGGTACAGCTGGCTCATATTTCTTTCTTTCCTTTTTCAGTGTTGCCCATAATCTTTAATTTAAGCAATTTTAAAAGCAGGTGACCAGTCCAGTTGTTGTTACTTTATGTCTTGACTGGTGCAAAAGGCCTTTATGAATACATTATTTTTGTTTCATGCACATCCATTCTCATCACTTGATTCCTTTGAAATCAGGTTTGTGTTTGTAGAACTTAAGAGCTGTGCACTTTATCTTAACATCCTTACAAAGATTTTCAATCAGACATTTATGTTAATCCAGAGCCTGCAATATCCACCATAAAATTGTTTTAAGGGTAATATAGACTTTAAAAGGCAAAATATTTATAGTTCATATTTTTCTTAACTTCTCTATACTTTTAATTGTCTGCTTTTTAAAAAAGAAAAGTTTGGCTTTTTTTATGCAACATTATTTTTTCCCACAGAGCCTTCTTTGATGTACACAAAACCAATAATACAGAGATAACCATCTTGTGCCATTATCGTGGCACTTCAAGACTTCTTTGAATTATTTGTGGTGCTGTAGGGATTAGAAGCCTCTCAGTTTGTATATGAACATCTTTCATTTAATTCACACAAAACTGGTTCTGTTTATTAAACACTTTCAATAGGAGGCCACCATCACAAAGAAGAAAAAGGCTTCCTAGCTTTTATTGTAACTGCAAATTTTGTATCCTGCTGCAGCTCAGGGTGTGTTCTCTTCTGCATCATGGCTTCCTTTGTAAAATGAAATATTTAGGGTGAAATTATGACATCTTATTCACATTTTGCAATAACAAATTCTTCAACTGAAATAAAAAAGACTGCTCAAAGGATGAAAAGTTATGTAACATGTTAGAGGTAGAACCTGATCCCTCAGAATTCAGCAGCATTTCTTTTCCTTTTATCCTGCTCAACCAAGCTGGATGAGAACAGCCATAAGAGCTTCGGCTCGTGTGAAAATGCTGCTGGTACCAGAAGAGCAGGATTCAAAACCAAACTACAGCCCCTGTAAAGTGAAAGATGGAGAAATAGAAGGGAAAATGATTACAGCAAAAAAGCCAATTTAGTTTTCAAAAATCTGCAAAATCCAAATGAAGCAATTATTTTTTTGAAAAGCAAGGAAGCAAACTGAAATTTTTGAAAAGCAAGGAAGCACTGTGCAGTCAATTACACAAATGGAAACATTCAAAATGGAATTCAAATGGAATTCAATTAATTCAAAATGGAAACAGAGTATTAGGGTGAGAAGTCTGATAATGTTATGGTGACCTGCAGCTTTTACTTGATTGTTTATTAATAACAGAAGTATTTTATAATAGATATGTTAACAGGCACACTTACCCACTTCAGCTGATGAATTATTATTATAGTTTTGCCCAAAGCAAATGTGCTGAGAAAAGAAGCTGCACACTGAATTCATAGACGCTGGCAGTGCTGGTGCCCCTCGAGGATCTTTCTTTAACTTTTACAACTTCTTTCTCTCCTCTTATGCCTGAACGATTTTTTTCAACATACCACAGCACTTCCTCTACAAGGTGTTTTATCCTGGATGCAGTCAGCCTCACAGACCACATGTCCCAGAGACCAGAAATCCACAGCAGAGCAGCAGACTTCCCACAGGCCACTCTTAGTGTATAAGTTCACAGGCAATTGAAGAATGTTTTGTCCTCCCGTTCTTTTCTCAGATGAGCTGGAAGGATGGAAAAAGTGGTTAAGAGACCTTAACAGAAAGGAGGTTGTGACAGCCCAGCCTGGGAAGCCAAGGATTCTGTGCACTTGAAGGCATGCTGAAAGAAATAAGCCATGGCTCCCTTCATTTAAATTTATTTATTTATATTATTATTTTAATGGGGACATGTCAAATTATTAATGTATTGGGAGTGAAAACTTGCCAACTCCAGCAGGCCACTGAGTATAGAGTTGCATGGTACTGTGCTTGATTTTGCAATTTGGATGTGACAGATGGAAGAGCTCGTGCAAGCCTTGTGTGTATTCCTTTGGTAGAGAGGATTGCACTGTTTGAAACATTCATAGGCACATAAGATTTAGCCATCTCTCCTTACATTAATCAGGCAGGGTTTAGTCTGCAGAAGGGGATTGGAGGAGCTCTGGTCCCTTCTGATCAGGCTGATTGCCGTGATAAACTCATACTTCCCACTTAACTGCCTGTTCATCTCCGTGGTCTCATCTTCACACCTGGATTTAGAAGTTTTGTTTTCTGGTAGCAAAGCCCCTGATACAGCTGTGCTTGATGACTCTGTCTTTTTAGGTAGGCTACAATATAAATAAATAATGCTGAGTTGTAAAATTGTGGCTGACACCAAGAAAGCTGACAAAATGGGAATGTTTTTGTCTTTAGGAATTAGCATAAGAAAGTTGAGGATATGCATCAAGTTGATGCTGCTAAACTTCCACAAACAGCTTGAGTTCCATGTGGCAGGATCCTGGGGATTGTAATTAAGATCAATGACTTGTTATTTTAATGAATATGGATCCAAATCACACGGGAAAATTTAGCTTGTTGTGTCTCAGTGCTGCAGTTTCCTTTACAGAAAGCAGGGAAGGTAAAACTTGCATTTTCCAATTCTTTGTTTCTTCTTTTCCAGTGAACGTGGCAGGACAGGAGTGTGTTTGTTCAGCACCTGCATCAGTAATGACCTGGACTAGAGACAGATAAAGCTACAAAGAGAGCCATGATAACAGACTTGCTTTTCAGTTTCTTGATTATGTATTGGTACAAATTTATTACAACCAAGCAGTGTTAAAGAAGTGGGGCTTCTGCTTTTGATCAGAATCCAGAAACACAGAGTTGTGATAGAAAGTTAATAACAAAGGACAGATTAATTGTACTCTGGAAATGTTTTGATTAGCACTTGTTGAAATTCTGAGCAAGGGTTTAGTCAGTACTTTTTTACCCTGGACTAATTCATCCATCCCTCTCTGGAAAATTCAGTCTAATGTGTCATTCAGCATAAGGGAACAGAAGTGTTTTCCATGATCTATGTAACAATCAGTCTTTTCAACAGTTCATTTTGCCTTTCACGCAGCAAAGATGTGCATTCCCAAGGTGCCAGATGTTTCCACCACTGAGCAGGTGAAAGGTAGTAGAAAAGAATGTCATTTTGATGAGTCTCTTTATAGCATATTCCTACCAGTGCTCATTTCAGAATCTGGGATCACAGTAGTAAATAATGCTGAGTACTCCTATAGCACAGAACACGTTCAAAATTAAATTTTAGTAGTAGTAACTTGAGAGATCTCTGAAAAAGTGAATGGGAGAAAGTTAAAAAGGGAGAAAGTTAAAACTTGACTGTGATAAAACCATGTCAAGCCAAGAGGTGTTCCCTGGGGAGTGACTCTTGTTCATCTAGAAAAATAATAAAAAATGCTTCTATGAGTGGGTAAAATGAGATGCCTAAATGGACTCCAGGGAAATTATTGTGGGGAAAAGGTAATTATTTAATTTCTCACTACAAATCAAACTTAACTTTTCATTTGGGTAAATAGTGAAATTCAAGAGAGACCTTGGAAAAATTTAATAGTTATTATACCTGTGAAAATTAACATACTTGCTATCCAGCTTGACATTACAGACCTGTTGAGGTACTGCAGAGAGGTGGAGGTAGTTTTCTCTTCCTGATATTTCAGAACAGACTGAGATTTCAGATGGGAGGTGTCTTGATCTGAAAGCCATATTCATAAGAGCTCCAGCATTGTAGTTTTGAGGAAATACAGATAATATTTGAGCCAAAGTTGTTGTATGTCACTTAAAGTAGGAGTTCAAACAAAAAACCCATGCCATCAATGTTTTGGTTGTTTATATTGTGCCACAGTAAAAATCATTTATGTGCGTTCCCTGACCTACTCTTCCTGGCATAAGATACCGGATGCCAGAGGCAAAACTTTTCTCCCTACACCATGCAGAGCAAAACTCTTTTGTATGACCTACTGACATAGAGGAACATGAGTTGTAAACCAGTGGAATTAAACACAAAATGTTAAATATACATTTTGGAACATGAGGGATGAAAAGATAAATATTAAAAGACATCCCAATAATAGCAATACATAAAATTTCTGATGATTCTCTGAGTATTTTTAGAAAGCAGTGCATTGCTGCGGTATGCAACTGAAATATCACCCAGTGAGACTTCAGCATAATTAAGCAATGATTAATCAATACTTAACTAAAGAAATTAAGCTCAGGAGAAACAATTAATTGAAGTTAAGTGAACTTTGACAGCTCATATTAAACTAAGGCTCTAATTAACAAAAGCATTGTGCATCCTCTAAATGAAGGGATGTGCAGGCTTCAGGTGCCAGGGAGGGGGTGAGTGTTACTCTGCAAATTCCTTGATGATGAGGAGTCACTGATGGAGAGCTTCATTTCAAGGCTTTGAAAAGAGAAGGTGATCTTTCTTTGGTCGCCCACAATGCTGTTTGGTGACTTGATTCTAAATTCAGCAGTTCAGGTGGCTCCCTGGAGGAACAAATGTAGTCTTCTGCTAGAGTCTGCAGCCTAGCCCCATGTCCTTCAGGCTCTTATCATTTAGAACCAAGCTGCTGGATGAGGTGGGGGCACTGCTGTAATGTCCATGACACAGCCAAACTCCCAAACTCCACAGAACCGGGGAGCTCCGGCCCTTTGCATCGCTTGGAGCTCCACAGTCCCATTTCCTGCGGGATTTGTGGCTGTGGAGAAACGCAGCAGGAGCAGCTGCTGCCAAAGGGCTGCAGCCCAGGGAAGGGCTGGGACAGGGAGATGGGGGAAGAACACTCTGGAGGACCTGAGAGGGCCTGTGACAGAATTTTCTCCTCATGTCTCTCACCTCCCTGTTGCATTTTTACATTCCCCCCAGAGTAACTTTCACTTTTAGTGTTAGTGAATGCCATCATCTATGGACACAGGTTATCAACCCTTGTGCATGTGAGACTGTCCCAATATTTTTTCTGCAAAACTGTCTCATGAAACCACAGAGTCTGGATACCTGACCTAACACTTCTGAAAATACTGATTTATTACCTGGAGAACAAGCCTGGGGGAGGGAAGGAGCAGAATACAGGGAAGAGCTCTAAGTGTTGTCTCTTGGCTCTCAGGATAGGAAATGGCCACCGCTTCTCTTTGCAGTAGCCAGGCCATGTCCCATAAGCCCAGATTGACGATGAATAAGGGTCAGGAATGGGGTTTAGAGCCTAATCTCAGCCCCAGCCCACCTGAGGGAATTTTCCCTCTAGAGAGTGGGGCCTTGCTTGTTTTTAGAGGCACTGGAGAGTGGCACAAATCTGAGATGAGGGAAAATAAGAGAGATATGATTGGCTAGTGGCTTAATTGCTCTGTTAATTGCTTTGCCTCTGGTGCTCTCATCCCTGCAGAGAAGTGCCTCAGGGTTATCTCAGCTGTGTGAGTTCCCCTCAGTGATGAGCAATTATCTCCCAGGCAGAGACTACCAAATGTGGCTGTCACAAGATAGCTCCATTCAAAATGATGGATGAGCACGAATGAAGACAAACTTCATTCCCAGAACTCAAATTAGGAGCTGACATATCCTCATTTGTGTGGATTTGGCCTGACTTTGTAACAGCACAAATGTCAAGATGTACCTCACCAAAGGTTCAGGTCCTGAGCCCAACTCCACAGCTGGAGCTCATCTGCAAAGCCTTGTTGGACATTTACAGGTCTGATTTTCCTTTTGTTGAGGCCTCTACAGGATTAGTGGGGTCATGGAAACGTTCTGGGTGCTCTTTGTGGAGGAGGCAGCATTTCTCTGCTGGCATTGACCAAACCTGGGCTAACCTGATTCAGTGAGTCCCCTGCTCCAGAGGGATGGAGGAGCATTTGGAGTCAGGTCAGACAGGGCTGGTGGAGGTAAGGCAGTGTTCTGCTGCTTTAAAGTCACCAAGCAGGGAGAGCAAGCTGAGAACTTGCACTGGTTTTGCTCTTTGAGCAGCTGCACAACAATCCCACAGAGCTCCAGGTGTGCCACTGTTCCACTTTGTGGGGGGATCTGTGCTGTGGAGAAAGGAAGAGATTTACTCTGCAGGAAATTCCAAATTCTAACAGGACAGAGGAAGAAAGCAAAGAAAAACAAAACACACCCCCAAAAATGCAGAGGTGAAGTGATCTGCCTGTGGCCACTCATAAGGCAGGAGCAGGGTGATGGAGCACACCCTGTGCTGTTCCCATTAAAGCCTCTCCAGTGAGAGTGCCTGACCTGGCGCTCATGTGGGAGAGTGTTCCCAAGCAGTTCCATAAATGTGCATTATTGCCATGCTCCTGCCTGCCATATTTCCTCTTCTTTATTCACCAAGTGGTGGGAGCTGTCTCTGGCTCATCAATTAAACCCAGAAGTGAGGATTTCCAAAGGTATTGCTGCTTAGCGAAAGAAATTCATCCTTAGGCTAAAGGACAAAGCACAAGACCTAAGTGTTATTTAAATGGCTCATAAAACACATGCTGGCTCTTTAGCCTGAATGAAAATCACCCTTAGCTAACATAGGAAATATCCTGCTTTCCCCTGCCTTCCCCAGTCTTTTCATGATGATGAATCTCTTTCCTCTTGCTCCCCATTACTTCTGTAAATGAGAATATGCTGTAACATTGCTGAGGTTGGGCTAATTAAATCAGCTCTTTCTTATCTCATTGATCTGCATTTTAAAGCTGAGATGATTAAGGATGAGAAACTATATTTG